CCTGGACCATGGACACATTTGCATACGCTTAGTGGGGATTTACCTCAACTTTGGGCGCGATAAGCGTTCACTCAACATTTTCATTAATGCTGAATACAATCCTAGTCACAACAGCCTGACTAGTAGGTACCGAAGCTAGCTGGTTATGGCAACTGAACCAGGAGCGCCGCCATGATATAGCTTCAATGTTATCACTGCCTTGAGCCGGTCATTCACTGAGGCTCCGCTGACAACACAGAGCGGAACAAAGCCATTGCCAGGCAAGGACAACTGTGCGAGCTCGTTCTTCGTTTTACGATCCCGGGTCTGTTTTCCTGACATACACACCTCAGCAGCAGACCTTCCGTATAGGCCCTGCTGGGCCGTCGGACATGGGTGAAAGTGGGCGCGCGCGGCCGTGCAGCTTGCCGAAGGGATTCGGTCAGCGAGCCGTCTCATTGGGGATTCAGCAGCGCGCCACTGTCTACTGCGTCAGATCACGTACGGCGCCGGCTGGTAGGACCGACTGGAATGCTGTCAGGCGCCGCCGGCTGGACAGCTGAAACCGGCAACCGAGATCCGGACGCATCCATACCTGGGGACCCGACGTAGGATCCGAACCTGTTCATATTAGGGACGATCCGGATCCATCCATTCTTGGAAACCGACGAACAGCCCAGGGCCCGATTTGACATCGGATCCGGACCCACCGATTGCCGGGACTCGACGTTAGATCCTGGACTCATTTATACCCGGAACTCGCCGGAGGATTCGGATCCACCCATACCCGGAACTCGAACCCGAACCCACATCCAGGACCCAGTAGAGGACTGACCCATCCATATACGGGACCTGACGTGGGATCCGGACCCATTCATATACGGGACCCGACGGTAGAGCCTGGACCCATACAAAGCCAAAATCCAACACTAGATCCTGATCCAGTCTACACGGCACCTGATGTCGGACCGGAACCCATTTATACCCGGGACGCAATAGTAGAAGCAGATATATCCATACCCAGGCCCCGACCCAGGGCCTTGAATAAAACCGTACACATGAAACGTGACTTGATTTAGGGCGCGGATTTCCGACTCATTCATCAGTTGATATCAATAAATAGGGACCCCCCGGAAGGGTGGGAACTTGCGACTTCTGTCCTTCAGCCATCGAATCGGTCACTCTGGTCAGTTGGGTTAGAAAGTCAAGTCATGACACATTGCCATTGCAATTGCACACCGAACATGATCAAGTGTTATGTGTGTTTGCTCATAGTCTAGCAAGGACGACCGTAATGCATATTGCACGCTGCACAGTGCGCATTGCAGTGCACACGCTATTCTTAAATAAGGTCTGCCCTGTGCGTGGTCAAAACATGCATTGACCGACATGTAGCGTGCTGCGGCAACAAAATATCGCACATTTTGGCACTTATTAAGCATTAAATTACAATGTTGTTTCCAGGCTGTATATGGTCAAGTCAAAAGGTCATGGTAATAAAATGATTAACTATGTTGCGAAGTTTTTTAACCTTCCAGGCGGGGGGGGGGGCATTTTTTGCCCCCCCCCCCTTTAGTTTTTTCGATATATCTCGAGAACCGCTGCGCCGATCGTCACCAAACTTTCAGTACCCTCCCGTGAATAGCTATTGCACATTGTGACCTAACATTTTTCCAAAGGCTATGATAGGTTGGCCGCTAATGGGAAGAGCTGTCAGGCCTACAGCTTTAGAGATATAGAAAAATGTTTCAGACATAAAAGGTGTAGAATTAGGAGGGCTGCAAAACTACCATCTCGGATTTTTTAAATTTTTGGATTTCGACCCCCAAAAATAAAAAAATAGATTTTTTTAATATAATAGCCGAAAAATCCAAAAAGTTTTTTTTTAATTTCGAAAAAAAAGGAATATATGTGATAGTCCCCACCACGTTCTATCTACATACCAAATTTGAGTTCTATACCTCTTTTTTGGCCAAGTTATAGCGAAAAAACTGTTCAAAATTGATGACGTCAAATTTTCAAACTCAATTTTTAGCAATTCTAGACCTCGTAGCGCAAAACAAAGACTACCGTTAGACTCCCCGTGACGAGCTGCATCGAATCAATACTCATTTTATGCAAAAATATCAACTTTGAAATTTGACCTTTTTGACCTGACCTTGACCTGACCTCCACCAGAAAGTGACCTAAACCGTACCTGATGGTCTTATAACCAACACCATTGAGTTGGAAATGAAAAACTGGCCATAAAACACGCATCGCACAACCTTAGTAAAGTTGGGTTCATGTGGTGACCCTTGGTGACCTTTGGTGACCTGACCTGTGACCTGACCTGGTATGACCAGTGACCTCTAATAGCACCATATGTACTAGACAACTGACGCCCTATCGCTGATTTTCGACAAAATGCGTTTTACTCGGTGTTATAGCGCTTTCCCTAGAAGCCCCGTGAACGTTGAAACATTTTATCTTTGACCTGACCTGTGCCGTCATCGGTGACCCCGAGGTCAATGAAATTTGGTTTCCTTCTGCAAATTTGAGAGGGCTATCGAACGCCGTTTGAATTTTCCGGATCCGTCTAGTAGTTTCGGAGATACGGGGGGGGGCAAAAAAATGTCCCCCCCCCCACCGCGCGGAAGTTGGCCGGGAGACCCACCGCCTGCCGGGTTAAATCAGGCCGGGACCAGAGCCATAGGTACTTATTGATCGTGAAACTCGAAAGGTTGATGTTGATGTTGATGTTGACTTGATGTTTCTGATCGACAGGTACCTACGACGTGCAACGTTCTTTGTTGAATATGAATATAAATTGCGGTTGAATAAAAACTACACTAGCTTGAACATTACCATGCATTAAACGGTTATTCGAAATCCGCATGCCTTCTCTGTTTAAAAATGCAGCATAAGGCATCTGTCGCCCGGTAAAAGATATGCAGCTCGCCGAAATACGTCCTAGGTTACGTAAGTCGTCATGGGCTCGTCACGCAATGCTACCACAGAGCCGAAAAACACCGCACGTCACCGAGACTATCATCATGATCAATCGCCGGATGACTGCTGCCGTACATGGAAAATATGTGCCAGCCTTTGATTCACGACATATGCGACATGAATAACTAGAGTACATGCATCCCGGGCAGGTTATATTGTGACCAATTGTGACGTCCGGGGAATGCTTTCCCTGACGTTCATAACTCATATGCGAGGACACGCACGCATCTTTACCTCATGATAACAGCCAATCCTCCATGTTCGAGCTAGCCAAGTTGGTGTAACGCTGTAACTAGGTAAATGATATTCACTCCGTTGACGTGCTATGACAACTTCAGCTATCTCAAAGACATGACCACGCAGCTGATGTCGGTCCCGTCCTAACATATTCCTCTCATGCAAACGATAATATGAAAATTAGAAGGAAAATGTGTTGTGTTGACAGACTTTGACTATTGATATGATGACGGTCAACCAATTCATGCGCAAGGCTCGTCAATCCAAGTTGTTCATATTTTTCATTTTGAGAGCATATACTCGTAATTAAAGTTTTCGGGTGAAAAGAAAGTAATCTACAGGAGCTTATCAACATGCTTCTGTGCGACTTTGGAGAACTGGCACCATCATTTTAAACCAAAATGCTACGCACCAGTTGGGGGAGACCGGGCAAAGCGGCCACCCGGGGCAAAGCGGCCAACCGGGGCAAAGCGGCCACCCTTCGTTTCAGCCCAGCACAACTGGCGTCAGCTCCAGTCTATGGCTGCCAATTATACTTCCTCTCGGTCGTTCGAATGGGCCAGAACGGAGTTTCCGACCCGTTGCCTTTTTTCCGTGAAAGAAGAAGTGCATGTTTTCCCAGGTTATTCTTTTTTGTTCCAATATTTCTACGCTTTTTAAATACTATGTCAGGCCATAACCGTTTGAAAGTTTATTCAAGTGTTCTCATTCTGCAATGAGTGGTTATCGCATATATCCTCTGCCAATTCCAATGTGTTTTGCCCTATTAATAACATTGCTGGAAGATGTTTTGTCTCGGATGGTAGGAGCGGGGCAAAGCGGACTGGACAGAGCGAACAGCTCCTAATTCCATGAATTGCGTTCACTTGGACTAGAAACGTTTTTGATATTGAAATGTATGGTCATGCATTCATCCCGGCCACTTTACAGTTACATAAGTTACTCAAATAATGCAATTTAAAATGTTTTTCCATGAATGTTCTTGTATTGTTTACCTACAGGTGAACGATTGCAAAATAAACATCCATCCTCTTTTAAACATTTTACCGTCAAAAATTTCATTCCTACATGAGGCAACTATCCTGTATCTCATATTGGGGCAAGAAAATCGCCGGTGACCGATTTGCCCCGAGGTCTGGGACAAAGTGGCCAAAAGGCATAGATTTAAAGTTTTGCCAATATCTCCTACCTATATATGAACGCTTTTAGAAATGAAACGAGGTTTAAGCAAAAGCCAACTTAATAGCGATCACCTTGGCATAGAAAGAAGCTTTCTATGTTTACAAATAAAATGTCAGCATCGTAAGAAACGTCAGGTAGGCCGTTTTGCCCTGGTCTCCCCTACACAGTCACACACGTTTCCTAATGAAGTCTGAGTTTCTGACGAGCAGCTCATGCGTGCCACGAGCCAAATAAGTCACCGGTGAAAGGTTTGCACGTTTGCGTAACTCGCAGCACGTGCGCTTTTTTCAAAGAACGCACCACCTGATATCTAACTGATCCCCCCAGACATTTAGCGCACTGACCGCAGGAAACTACTGAGAGCTGCCTGCGACCCGGGCCGCGTCGATCGCGTGCTTCAGCCGGCTATGGACGGAGACTTCATGCAATTAGATTCTGCCTGAGTCGGGCTGCATCGGACCGACCAGGAAAAGGAAGGACACGAAAAAATCGTGCACACAATGGTGGTGCGACTCTTCGAGAAGCTCTGCCCACACAGAGCCGGTGGCGCCCGCGGTCGGTGTGCTTGTTGCCCGGCCATGGATGGACACGATACAGGATAAAGTGTATAAAGGCACCCTGCACGAAGGGCACGTCAGTGATACCAGGACCATCACAGGATGAGGAGCCTTTTGGTGAGTGCTGCAAACCGAGCTGAAGTAACATCAGTGTGTGCATTGTGGATTAGTGGTGGAATGATTTTATTGACTGTTGAAACACAATTCGTAAATAATACGCCTACAGTTGATATAATATACCTACACACATACAACACAAATTTACTTATGGATTCATAACACGGTACACATGAATTATGCAAATGCCATCAACTTGCAAAAAAAGGGTAATTACCAGCAGATTATGCATGGAGACGAAGCGACACTCATGATTTCGAATCTAGCTGAACATCATAAATTGTACCCTAGTCAATGGCTACTTAATTGATATCCTTAAAACGCCATCGCCCATTCACATAACACCTACTTTCTCACCCATGCATTCTTGGACGTAATGACGTATACATACATAGTTAGATGCACACATACATTCATTCAACTCATTGATCGCCAGTTTTGGGCATTGCCGTCACGTTATCTCGCATTTTGCTTTTCTTGCCTTTTTGGTCATGGTTGACACTTGTCATAAAGCTACAAGTACATAGAGTTTTGAGGTACAATATGGGAAGGCCAATAACTATAACATTTTTCATAATTCCGCTGCTCACTCAATTAAACCTGCTTTTAAATTAAGGGCGATAACCTCATCAAAATACCAAGCATGCTGACTAAACATAATATATATGTACAAGCTGATCAAATAGTGCCTTATATATTGGAATGATAACCAGCCATTATTTAATGAGCAGCGTGATTGTATTCCGTTAAGCAATGAACGCCATTGACACCAGTATAACGCCTTTTGGGGCGACTAACGGAGCGAGCGAGAGGGTGAGCCTTGCACGTGCGAAATTTCGAGGGGGTATCTCCAACTGAATTGTGCACGGCACCCTGCTAACCGGTCTCTAGCGATGTGCCAAATTTTAGCACAATCGGCCCAGCCGTTCTCAAGATCTGGAAGAGACACCCTGCACGTGCGCACGTGCAAAGTGGGTCCCAACTGACTTGTGCACGGCACCCTACTAACCGGTCCCTAACTGTGTACCAAATTTGAGCGCAATCATTCGAGCCGTTCTCGAGATCTGGAAACAACCCCTGCACGTGCGCACGTGCAGCAGCACCCCAACTCTGGCACAGGGATATGCAGTGCCTAGTGGGTGCCTACCTACATGCCAACTTTCAGCGCAATCGGCCAAGTAGTTACCGAGATATTGCAACAATTACAAAACTGACACCTCTTCGTTTTGCACGTGGCACGTGCATAAGGGGTCACCCACATGCATCAGGAATAGTCCAATACTTGCTAGAAGGAATGAAGCTACCCTACAAAAATTACCGCATGTAAATCGGTCAAGTGGTTGCTGAGATATAAGCCTCGCAAAAGCGTCCGCACGGCCGGCCGGCCGGCCGGCCGCTCATACCCAGCAATTTCCGTTAATCTAAGGAAAGACTCCACTCGCTTCGCTCGCTCCGTAAAAAGGCCATGGCGTCTTGCTATCTTTGATATTTGAATACAAAAAACAAATTACTTTTGCGGCTCTGCTTTACATTAAAATCCCATCAAGTCTGTTTCTTGCGGCATCAAAAAGTGTTTCTTTTATTGATAAACATTATGTAAATTACGTAATATTGGTACCATTAAATAACTAATTAAGTTGCCATTTTTTACCCGAGCGTTTTAAGTAAGTTTTGCATTTTAAAGAATCGTTTTCCGGTGCACCTATCCATTATTGACGGATAAATACTTCATTGTCTCTAAACGATGAACTAGAGAAGCGAGAACTCGAGAAAACTTGTAGTGGACTTCAACCCTCGCCCGTATTGGTGTTTTGCCAGTGTCTAACGCATGAGGGGGTGGGGGGAGTACGTTGGACCCCCTGCCGTTCGGCCCCTGATCGAGCTAGAGCTTCGCGGAAGAATAAGTGTATTGCTCAGGACGAGAGGAAGCCGATGATACCCAATTTTAAGGTCCTAGGTCACTGATTGACCTTCCAAGCCAGGTCAATGACCAAAAGGACAAAGGACGGGGAAATCGGGACCTGTTAAAACTCCGTAAAGTTAGGCTGTTGAGGGGTTTACGGGGTGCTGATCAGGAATTTCATGCTAGTTTTGAGCACAATGATGCCTTCATGCATTTAAGCTAGGTCGGGTCAGGTCAGGTCAGTATAGGCGTCCTGCCGGCTGTATCCATAATAGGTGTCAACCACCACTGACAGCTTCGTAACATGTTACGAGGGCACCAAAACTACTTTGTAACTGTTCAAATGTGCGCCAAATTCGAAATCAGCTAAAAAACTACCCTAAAAACATGTGAAACTCGAAAAAGTGAACCGAGGTGAAATGACCTTGACCTGACCTTTACGTGACCTTGACCCCCACGATGGTACATGGGACCAACATCATTTCACATGTGTGAACGTCCACAAAACGCGCAGATAATGTGAGCCGACATACGTTGAATCACGATTCCAGCCAACCATGCAGTCTAGAAAAGCAGGTCACAGGTCAAAGGTCATTTGGGTCAGGGTCATGAAATTTTCATGGTGGGTGTAAAATTGATCAACTCGAGGTTACTGAAAGTTTTGTCGCGATCGGCCGCTTTTTGCGCTAGTTATTCGCGAAAATCGAGTGGGTCCGTTCCACCCCCCCCCCCTATAAGTGTAAGGGTAAAAAACTTGTCAGCGGATACAGTAATCGTTTTTTCCGCATTATAACACCGCATAGCACCGCATAATTCAAGTTACTGCTCACTCGAAGCTCTAATGCTTTCATAAACATTTAACCCTCGCCCGTATTGGTGTTTTTCCAGCCGCGAACGTATAAGGGGGGGGGGGTCCGTTGGACCCCCCCTTGCCGTTTCGCCCCTGATCGAGCTAGAGCTTCGCGGAAAAAAACGAGCGTGTTGCCCGTGACGAGAGGAAGCCGATGATACCCAATTTTAAGGTCCTAGGTCATCGGTTGCCTTCCAGGTCAGGTCAATGACCCAAAAGTCGGGGAAATCGGGACCTGTTAGAAAGTCGTAAAGCGTGGCTGCTATGGGGTTTTTCGGGGTGCTGATCACGAATATCATGTTAGTTTTTATCACAGATGATGTCTTCATGCATTTAGGCCAGGTCGGGTCAGGTCAGGTCAGGTCAACCAGTAAGGGTATTCGTAGTAGGTGGCAGCCGCCTCTGACAGCTTCGTAACATGTTACGAAGGTGCCAAAACTACTTCGTAAATGTATGGTTGCTAAATTCGAATTCAGCTCCGAAAACTGGCCTAGAAACATTTAAAACTCGAAAAAGTGAACCAAGGTCATCAAAGGTCAATGACCTGACCTGACCTTCCGGTGACCTTGACACCCACCCTAATGCATGGGAGCAACATCATATCCCATGTTTGAACGCTTGAAACCACGAAAAGACTGCAAACGCGCGGCTAATGCGAGCCGACATACGCCGAATCGCGATTCCGGCCAAACATGGTCTCGAAAAGAAGGTCACAGGTCAAAGGTCATTAGGGTCAGGGTCATGAAAATTTCAGGGTAGGTGTAAAATTGATTAACGCGAGGGTACTGAAAGTTTCGTCGCGATCGGCCGCTTTTTACGCGAGTTATTCGCGAAAAACCGAGGGGGGGTCCGTTCGACCCCCTATACGGGCGAGGGTTAAATCTACCCTAAGCCCATATAGCTGATAATCAGATAATTGATTTTTATTCAGTACTTACATATTCTTACGTTACTTATCGAGTTTTTTTCCTAACAAATAACTAGGAACTGGCTGTCATGGTCTAACCCTAAAAAGTCATTGACTTGCTGAGCCTTTCCTCACGGAATAGTGGCTTTGTTTATAACCGGCTTTGGTTGATTAAAACGTCGAAAAATCATTTCATAGCTTGTTAGTGTGGCCCAGGTTCTTGCACTAAACATTTGAAAAACATCTGACCACTAAATCGCCTCAAAGTTGATAACAGAGACGTTATCCAGAGCTGCAACATGTGTCCGCAGCTGGTGAAGTTGATTGGTTTGGTTCAAACAACACGTTGGACACATCACAAATTGGACATGTGTGCACTGCATGGTGATTTGTCTTGAATGTCACCCTGTTTCCCGTTTGCCGCTGTCTCTGGACAGCACGTTGGATGTGTTTCAATGTAATGGTTAGATATAGCCAGTGTATTGCTGTGCTAGAGAAAGTTGCTTCCATTCAACGCCTTCTCACTTGTAAAGAGCTTCCAGTGTGTTTCTGAAATCTACCAAGCTTGTGTTTACACAATAACTTTACAAGAAAGATTTCTGGCTGGGAAAATAAGCGCGCCACGATAGCTTGATTGGAAGGCCGCATCATTATAGAAGATGATGGTAATCCAGTGGCCATTCACCTGTTTAGCTTGGAACGTATTGATTTATGATGTCTGGATATCAATAACAATCTTGCGACTTCTGACATTTCGTAACGATACCGGGGGTTCAGGTTCCAACAGACTTCATTCGGAAGCTCAAAAATATATAGATACCGCTCCTTCTACAGCGTAATAACTATGAAATAGCAAGGCAGTCGTTATGTATGAACCAGTCAGCTTAGCAAAACGAGTCTTCGCAGGCAACCGTAGGTACAACACACTGCGGAATTTCAAGACGTCTTAAAAACATCTCATCAACAAACACCAGTCCCTACTTCACTTTGACGTTTCTACTGCCCATCAATAGCACCTCACGCTGAAATAACCTTAGTATGGGTGCATTCAGTTGCTCGATTTCTTACTCAAAGGGCCCGCACTTCGCCCCTGAGCCACATCCTCTCCCGAGTTCGCCGCCAGTGACGGCCCCGTCCCCGTCTCTCTCCGCCAGGTATTGCTAGGTGTGCTGCTGGCAGCACACGCTGCTCCCCAATGGCGGCTGCCCATTCTACCTTCGCCGCTGTCGCCGGCGGGCCCGGCCGACCCAAACGCCCTGGAACAGTCACCGCTGTTCATCGTCCCGCCATCGGTCCCCAACTCGGTGGCGTTCCCGCCGCCGGTGTCCGAAGCCGGCTCCGCCTCCAGCGCTGAGCCCTCCGGCGGCAGCGCCTCCTCCTCCTCGGGAGGACTCCAGAACGAACTGCAGGCGTCCACCTCATCCAGCAGCTCCTCCGGAGGAGCGTCCGGCGGAGCGTCGTCCTCGGCCGGCGGCGAGGTCGGCACCGGCCTCAGCAACCTGGGACCTGAGCTGGCCGAGCAGCTGCGACTGGCTGCCGAGGCGCTGCTGGCCTCTGGCGACCCGGCCCTGACGGCGTTCAGCTCAGCGGGAGCGGGATCTGACCTGACGAACCACCTGTCGTCCAGTGGGTCCGCCGACGCCTACTCGGCGGAGGGCACACAGCGAGTCGCTGATGTTGTTGGAGGAGAGCACATGGGCGGCGAGCCGACGGGCGGGGCGGCTGGTGTTGGAGGCAGCGCTGGATCTTCGAGCTCCTCCGCTGAGCAGGGCGGTGGCAGCCAGTCAGGGGGTGCTGCTGAAGCAGGCGCTGGAAGCTACGGAGGTTCTGTGGAGCCGAGCGGCGGCAGCCAGTCTAGTGGCTCCGCTGGATCTGGCGGTGCCAGCTCATCTGGAGGTTCAGCTGAGGCAGGCGCTGGCAGCTTTGGAGGCTCCGTGGAACCAAGTGGTGGCAGCAGTGGTGCTGAGATCGCCCAACAGCTGGGTGCCGACTTCGCCAATCAGCTGAACGAGTTCAAGGCCGTCCTGGCATCCGGAGGCTCTGGATCGGGAGGAGCTGAACAAGGATCTGGAGGTTCCGGAAGTGGAGGCTATGGATCCGGAGGTTCTGGATCGGGAGGAGCTGAACAAGGATCTGGAGGTTCTGGATCTGGAAGTTCTGGATCAGGAGGCTCTGGATCGGGAGGGGCTGAGCAAGGATCTGGAGGTTCTGGATCTGGAAGTTCTGGAGCAGGAGGCGCTGAGATCGCCCAACAGCTGGGTGCCGACTTCGCCAATCAGCTGAATGAGTTCAAGGCCGTCCTGACATCTGGAGGCGTCCCTAGCCTGGATTTGGCGCAAGGAAACAGCATTGCGGCTGATGCCTCCACAGGCGCCGGTCAAGGATCATCATCTGGAGGTTCCGGAGGTGCCAGTGCGGGACAGGCGGAGGCCAGTGTTGAGCCGAATGCCGTCAATCCTGGGGCATACGTGGCGCAGCAATGGGGACCTGAAGTTGCAGATCAGCTGAGCCAGGTGGCAACGCTGGTGGACGCAGCGGGCTTATCTAGCTCTGGCCTGGGAAGTGCTTTTGCTGCTTCTGCTGAGGGTAGCTATGGTTCTCAGTCCACGAATGCCGAGGCTGCCGGAGGATCTGGCGCAGACGCTGCTAGCCAGGGCGGCTTTGATATCGGTGCTTCAGCTGGCGCTGGACAAGGTGCTCAGTCTGGAGTTGAAAGTGTAGGAGGTGGAGGATCAAGTGTAGCTGAACAGGGATCTGGGGGTTCTGGGTCTGGAGGCTCTGGATCCGGAGGCTCTGGATCCGGAAGCTCTGGATCGGGAGGAACTGAACAAGGATCTGGAGGTTCTGGAAGCGGAGGTTATGGATCCGGAGGCTCTGGATCGGGAGGAGCTGAGCAAGGTGGTTTTGGATCCGGAGGTTCTGGAGCTGGCGGCTCTGGATCTGGAGGCTCTGGATCTGCAAGCTCTGGATCAGGAGGTTCGGGAACTGGAGGTTCTGGATCCGGAGGCTCTGGATCGGGAGGAGCTGAACAAGGATCTGGAGGTTCTGGAAGCGGAGGCTATGGATCCGGAGGCTCTGGATCGGGAGGAGCTGAACAAGGATCTGGAGGTTCTGGAAGCGGAGGCTATGGATCGGGAGGAGCTGAGCAGGGATCTGGAGGCTCTGGAAGTGGAGGCTATGGCTCCGGAGGCTCTGGATCGGGAGGAAGTGAACAAGGAGCTGGAGGTTCTGGAAGTGGAGGCTATGGCTCCGGAGGCTCTGGATCGGGAGGAGCTGAACAAGGATCTGGAGGTTCTGGAAGTGGAGGCTATGGCTCCGGAGGCTCTGGATCGGGAGGAACTGAACAAGGATCTGGAGGTTCCGGAAGTGGAGGCTATGGATCCGGAGGCTCTGGATCGGGAGGAGCTGAACAAGGATCTGGAGGTTCTGGAAGTGGAGGCTATGGCTCCGGAGGCTCTGGATCGGGAGGAACTGAACAAGGATCTGGAGGTTCCGGAAGTGGAGGCTATGGATCCGGAGGCTCTGGATCGGGAGGAGCTGAGCAAGGATCGGGAGGTTCTGGAAGCGGAGGTTATGGATCCGGAGGCTCTGGATCGGGAGGAACTGAACAAGGATTTGGAGGTTCTGGATCTGGAG